TATATTTGTTTGCTGCTTTTACTTCCTTGTCTGAGAAATGTCTGTGCATTTCAGATGCCCATTTTTGAATTGGGTCTTTGAATTTGGGGGTCTGATTATTTTCAGTTCTTTATATATTCTAGATAGTAGTCCTTTACCAACAAAGAAAAGCCCAGGTCCAGATGGCTTCACTGCTGAATTTTACAAGACATTTAAAGAAGAATTAACGCCATTACTCTTTAAACTCATCAAGGAAATTGAAAGGGGAGCAAGGCTTCCAAATTCATTCCTGGAAGCAAGTGTGACTTTGATTCCAAAACCAGGGAAAGACCCATCCCAAAAAGAGAACTACAGACTAATCTCCTTAATGAACATAGATGTAAAAATCCTGTACAAGATACTGGCAAACAGAATACAGGGGGTCTTCAAGAAAGTCATACACCCTGACCAAGTTGGATTTATCCCAGGGATGCAAGGATGGCTCAACATCCATAAATCAATAAATGTAATACACCATATTAACAGAGTCAAGGGCAAAAACCATATGATCATCTCAACTGATGCAGAAAAAGCATTCAACAAACTCCAGCACCCATTCATGATAAAAACCTACAGAAAATTGGAATAGAAGGTCTTTATCTTAACCTGATTAAGGCTATCTATGAAAACCCAACAGCCAACATCATACTAAATAGTCAAAAACTGAAAACTTTCACGCTAAAATCAGGAACAAGACAAGGATGCCCACTATCACCACTCCTGTTCAATATAGTTCTGGCCACAGCAATTAGAAAAGAGAAAGAAATAAAAGGAATAAAGATAGGAAAAGAAGAAGTGAAACTGTCATTATTTGCTGATAATATGACACTTTACATAGAAGACCCAAAAAACTCTACCAAAAGACTTCTGGACTTAATTGACAGATTCAGTAGTGTAGCTGGATATAAGGTCAACACTCAAAAAACAATAGCCTTCTTATACACAAGTAGCAGACTCACTGAGAGAGAAATTAGGGAAACAATTCCTTTTACACTAGCATCCAAAAAAATGAAATATCTAGGAATCAGTCTAACCAAGGAAGCAAAAGACCTCTACACTGAAAACTACAGCACTCTGAAAAAAGAGATTGAAGAGGATACAAGAAAATGGAAAGACATCCCTTGCTCCTGGGTAGGAAGAACCAATATAGTGAAAATGGCCATCCTTCCAAAACTACTATATAGATTCAATGCAATGCCCATTGAAATTCCAACAATATACTTCAGAGAACTAGAGAAAACAATCCAAAAATTCATTTGGAACAATAAGAGACCTAGAATAGCTAAAGCAATTCTAACCAACAGAGACATGGCTGGGGGTATCACAATCCCCAACTTGAAACTATACTACAAAGCTACTGTGATAAAATCAGCATGGTACTGGCAAAGGAACAGACCTGAGGAGCAGTGGAATAGATTAGAAGATTCAGAAACAACTACAGACATGCTCAGCCACCTCATCTTTGACAAAGGAGCCAATCACCATCATTGGAGGAAAGATAGTCTATTTAATAAATGGTGTTGGAAAAACTGGATTTCAACCTGCCAAAGATTAAAACTAGACCCATACATATCACCATGCACTAAACTAAGATCGAAGTGGATTAAAGATCTAAATATTAAACCAGAAACACTAAACTTGCTGGAAGATAAATTAGGTAGAACTCTTGAAGACATTGGCATAGGAAAAGACTTCATGAACAAAACATCAGCAGCATGGGAACTAGCAGAAAGAATCAACACCTGGGATCTCATCTTATTAAAAAGCTTCTGCACTGCAAAAGAAACCACCACTAACAGACAACCTACAATATGGGGAAAAAAATTTAGCAGCTGTACCTCAGACAAAGGACTACTATCTAGAATATATAAAGAATTGAAAAAAATCAGACCCCCCAAATTCAAAGACCCAATTCAAAAATGGGCATCTGAAATGAACAGACATTTTTAAATAAAATCTTTAAAGCTGAAAATAAGCGTATATAACTTAATATAACTTATGCACACATTATAATATAAAATTATATTATAATATACAAAATAATAACACATTGCTCAGGAATATGCATACATATAACAAAATAATAGAAGTATTAAAATATTAAGGGAGAGTATGGCAGAGACATACCGCTCACCAATTATCCATTTGTGTCCCTGTATTTCCCTTTCATCTTTTCATAAAGGACTTCAGAGTACTTCTGGCCAAAGAAATGTACATGTTAATAATGTATGCCACTTCCAGACTGAGGCAATTAAAAGCCTGTATGTCTTCTCTATCTCTTTCCTTGTACCATTTGTATGTAGTCTACATGGTCTAGTAGGCATAGTTGCACAATGGAAGAAGACTTTGAATAGTAAAAAATACACTTTTATTGTACTGACTCACTGAGATTTGAGGGTGTATTTGTTACTGTAGCATAGCCTATCAACAAGATGCATACAACTTCAGGATAAAGATTGTGACTGTGGAAGTAAGGAGAAAATGAGACTCAGAGAGATTCTTTTTTTTTTGGTACCGGGGATCGAACTCAGGACCTTGCACCTGAGAGGCAGGTGCAGTGCCACTGAGCTAAATCCCCAACACATCAGAAAGACTCTTAAAGAGAATTCTATTATACTTGTGGAATCTTTGTTCTTCAAAAATTATATAACAAATAGGCAAAATGTTAAGATTTATTAATTCTGTATCTTGGGAAATTGAGCATTTTAACTTCTAAGTTTCTTTGCATTTAAAAATATTTACATGTCTTAAATATTTCATGACTTTAAGACATATATCAATAATTTATAAAGAATAAGAGAAGATAAATGGTAGACAAAAAGGACAGATAAAATGATAGTGAGATAGGCATAGACTGGACCTGGGCTCTGAATGTCAGCATGATGAAAAGCTGTTAAACACTCATCTGTGGCTGACAATGTCTGGGGTACTTTATAGAGGGATCTTGGGAATACACTATTTCTCCCCTCTGGGAGCCTAAATAGAATATGACATAGATAGTCAGAATAGTTTGACTAGATTATGAAAGGTAAGGATAATAGAGGCACCAAAGAGCTCCAATAAACAGTGTAGAAAAATTTGGATCAATATAGTGGGCTCATGTGGTCATAGTGTAATTTTACAATCTACAAGAAGATAGGGAGCTGTACGTAACTGACAAATCACTATAATTACTATTCACTTCTGTTTTATTGCATTTTTTACAGATAAAATATAGCTAAGTATGTGTCAGATTGTGATTAAAAATTATTTTTTACTCTAGGTCATGGTAGGAAAGGATTGAATGTCAGTGATATAGATGAGAGATAAATGACCTAGCTTGCTCTTGTTTCAACTCTGGTATCAACTCAGTGACACTCTGACAGGTACCTTTCATCCACACAGGCTTTCAGGGCATTAGGGATCCCAACACCTGTGGAGGTTTTAATAAATTGTCTATAAAGATTTTTCCAGCTCTAATAGCCTAAGTTCAATAGGAACAAAGGCCTGATACCAGTCATAGTTCTTTTGTTGCTTAGTGGGTACAGATTTTCTCTTTGGGGAGATAAAGTCTCAGAAATAGAAAATGGTGATGCTTGCACAACATTGTGCACTGGCACACTGTGATTAATGCCAATGTATTATACACCTTTGTTCAGCTTTTGGTGACTCTTAATACCTAGAAATTCCTATACACCTTGTACAGCAAAACAATAATAATAATTCATTCATAATTCTACAAGTATTATAATTTATTGTTTTTAATATTCATTATTTCATTAAATCTAGACAACCACCCCATAATGTATGAAGGAAAATGATTTATCATGAGTTGCATATTTTCACATAAGGAAAATGAGGTTCAGTGTGTTCAAAAAATTTTAGAGGCTTATTTATAGATTGTGTTGTAAAACCAGAATTCAACCCTAACTGATTCCCTTGCACAGAATGAAGTTTGATGTGTTACTCATCTAATCTATATGTAGTCTTTTTTACCCTGCCTTGCTGCCACACAAAGGGTTGGGGAAGAAGGGAGAAAAGAGAAGTAGATACACACACTGAAACTCAGAGATGGGGGTCTGTTTCGTGCAAGGTATACACTCCTGGTCTTGCAGGCCTCCAATACGTGTCTTTCGGTAGAACCTGTGGTTAGAGCAATAAGGAATGGTAGAATATTGAAACAAGCAATGCATTTCGATCAGTCCTTCCTGAGACCATAGGTAGTTTTCAAGAATTTGCATTCCTAGAAGCCTGAGCCTACTTCTCCTGACAAGTTCTCTACCTCCATGTTTGATTCTAACTCAAAAGCTCAGACTTTTTATCTCTTTCCACATTCACCACACACTATAGGAAAAAGGTAGCTAATTCTACAAGACATGGGAATGGTGGTTTGATGCCAAATGCTTCAAAATTTCTTAAAACTTGGACTTGGGCTCTGAGTGCCAGCATGATAAAAATGTTAAGTATTCATCTGTGGCTAACAATGCCCTGGGCACTTTATAGCGGTATCTTAGGAATACACTATTTCTCCCCCACCCCGGGAGCCTAAATAGAATATGATGTGGATAGTTAGAATAGTTGAACTAGGTTATGAGATGTAAGAATGACAGAAGTATCAACAAGCTAAAATGAAATGGCATAGAAAAGTTTGGCTCAGTATAGTGGGCTCACCTGGGCAGACAGTCCCCACAAATGGCATTAGAGGTAGCTGTGCAGTTGGCTTTCTGGACACGATTGATAACAGCACACGTGATGCAAGCCTGACATCTGTGGTAGCCCCAGCTGTTTTTGTACCTCCGGGGAGGGCAGGCTGTACAGTATGCATCTCCACCCTCTCCATAACCACAATCCTGCAGAAAGATGGGAATCATTAACATTGCTCTACAGAAGCTTGCAGAGAGGATCAGCTATGGGACAAGTGACAATAGTATAGATTACTATTTTTCAAACTGCAAATGGCAACCATATTATTAGGTCATAAAATCAATTCATTAGGTTGCAGCAAGAATTGAAACAAAGCAAAACAAAATAATGATAGCAAGTATTATAGTGCATAACAAGAAGTAAACTTAAGTATTTATATTAGTCACTATAGACTAGGTTATATTAAAAAGCAATACTATAGACTAGGTTATATATAAAAGTAAACCCTAAATCTCAATGTTTTAAAAGAACAGTTTTTTTCATATCATTTGCCCAGCAGGGATTTTCCAAACTCTATATTATCTTTATTGGGTAATGAAAATACATAGGCGCATCAGGGAAAAAAGAGCATTGTGAACTGGCTCTTAAAATCCCTCCAACCCCAAATGACTCATTTCAGTTTCCTCATATGTCCTAGACCACAATGATCATTCTTAACCACAGAGTATAAAAAAATGTAATTTTACAGTCTAACAGAAGGTGGGAAACTGTACATATCTGACAAATCACCATAATTACTATTCACTTCTGTTTTATAACATTTTTTACAGATAAAATATAGCTAAGTATGTGTCAGGCTGTGATTAAAAATTATTTTTTACTCTAGGTCAGAGTAAAAAAGGATTGAATGCCAGTTATATAGATGAGAGTTGAAACAAGAGCAAGCTAGGTCATTTATCTCTCATCTATATTATTTACAAAAACAAACAGGAGAAGGCTATGTTATCAAACTAAAATGAAAAACAAAACAAAACAGAACAGAGAAAAAGGGAATTACCTGAAAAGGAAAGAAAGAAAAATGTTGAATGGGATAAGAATATAAGTGAGAGCTTTGTGAATATGCACTTTACTATATTTTATAGATTTGAATTAGGGATTATGTAAATATTTTACATTAAATATAAAACAAGATTAAATTAAAATTAAAAAAATCCCTAAAACTTTTAAACTAAATGAAATAAATTAGTCTAAAATAAATGTGTATATAGACTATATGAGTTTAAGATTATATCTCCATATATGGAGATATATACATATATATAGAGAGAGAGAGAGAGAGAGAGAGAGAGTGTCTGGCATTGTGCTTATCACATAATAAGTTCTCAATGAACAAATGAACATTAAATACTATTTTTAGGGAAAGCAAATCTTAATAATGTCTAAAGCACTGGTATCAGAAGACCCAAGTCTGACTCTTCACTTAGTCACTTGTTAGAGAAGGGAATGATGGAAGCTAGCAAGCATTTATTGAGACTCAACCAATAAATTGACTTACTGATTGGTTGCAATACTATTCATTGTATCAATTAATTCAGAAAACACATATTAAACAACTATTAAGTACCAGGATGCTATTCTGGAAATTGTGACTAAATGATTGAATCAGAAAGACAAAACTCTGCCCTCATGGAATTATATATTTACTTATTCTTCATAAAAGTTTTTAAGATTAAATTATCATCAATATTTCAAAACTAAGCAAATTTCAAGCACAAAGGGTTTTGTCACAAAACCTGGGCAGCTTGGGAAACCTATTTCCTATGGCCCTGAGACTCCAGACCCACAACCAGAAATACTAAGCTTCACGTGGCACCAGTAAGAGGGATCTTGCCACAATAATTATGCAGCCCAAGAAGTCTTTTTGTCCTGTGGGTCTGAGACTCCCACATAGAGACAGGTGTGTAGGGTACAGGAGCACAAGGTATTGTAATATAACGAACTTTCCAGTCTGGGAAGTCTTTTTCCCTACAGCTAAGAGATTTCCTTACTTTCACCTATATCACTCAAGAGACCCAGGCAGCATCTTCAGAGAGTAATAGGAGCCCCAGTTACACCACATATACTGCACAGATCAAAAATCACACCACAATAGGCCTGAAAATTAAGCTTTCTTTATAACTGCCAACAACAAAATTAGACCAGGACATATGTATCAAATCTAAATAGATGACTGCCTGCTAAAATAAAAGATTTCAGTAAGACTTTGAGTCTCAGTCTCCTAGAATAATTGAGAAAATGCCCAGTAAACAATAAAACATCACCTATCGTAACAAGAATTAGGAAAAGCACAACATGGATGACACAGCAAGAGTTAGATAAATCAGAAATTGGAATTATCTGACAAAGATTTTAAAGCATCCATAAGAAAAATTCTCCAATAAGCAATTACAAATTCTCTTGAAGCAAAAGAAAAATTAGAACATCTCAGCAAAGTAATAGAAGTTAATTTTTAAAAGAACCAGATGGAAATTATAAAAATAAAAAATTAAATGTTAAAAATCTCATAGAATGGACTCAATATAAAAGAGATGACAGATGACAGAATTCAGTGAACCTGATGACAGAACAACAGAATGCATACAATATGAAAAGCAAAGGTAAAATAGACTGGAAAAGAATATGGGATGCCTCAGGGACCTGTTGGACCATAACAAAAGGTCAAACGATCACATCATTGGAATCTCATGAAAAGAAAACAAATGCATGCCTGAAAAAAATTTCAAAGTAATGAAAGTGGAAATCTTCATAAATCTGACAAAAAGACTTATAGACCTGAGTGGATATGTGGATCAAAAATAGAATAAGTCTAACAAAATACACAATGATACACAACATGATGAAATTCCTAAAATAAATGAAAAAAGTCTTGAAAATAGCTAAAAGAAATGGCACTATCCATAGAGGCACAACAATTCAAAGGACAGTGGGTTCCTTCTGAAACCATGGACAGCAGAAGAAAATAACAAAGTTTTTAAGTGCTGAAAGATGAAAACTGTTAACTGCAAATTCTATGTCCACTGAAGCTATTCTTCAGAAATGAAGAGGAAACACATTCTCAGCCAAAGAGAATGAAAAGAATATGTAAACATACCCTTAAAAAAGAGCAAGAGGGAGTTCTTCAATAAGGAAGAAAATTATGAGTCTTGAAACATCTGGCAAAAGCACTGGAAACAGAAAAATGTATGCACGTAAATGAAGTCTTTCTCTTCATGAATTTTATAAATAATATTCATGATCAAACAAATATAACAAAAATATGTCTAATTCTCATGACAATAATATGTAAAAGTTGAAAAACTCAAGGAACCTAAACAGAAGTGATGCTTATATACTTCACTAGAAGTAGTAAAATGTTGTTATCAGTGGAGCCAGAAAAGTCATATATGTAGATGATAATACCAAAAACAACCTCTAAGAAACCAATACAAAAATATACTAAAAAAAACCCCACTACAAATAAATCAATACAAATACTCATGTAACTCACAGAAAGGCAAGAATATACAAAGAGGAACAAGGAACACAGACAACAAACAAATAATAAAATGGCAATTTTAAGCCCTTAAATATAAATTGTCTAAGGAAACCAACTAAAAAGCAGAGATTGGCATAGTGGATAAAACCAAAGACTATCACATTGTTTTCAATAACCATTTCTTGAATACGGGGATGAATCATTTCTTAAGGAATTTAAGAGATACAAATCAACAAAAATTTTACTGAGAATCCTATGTCCTAATCAGGAGGCAAAGGAGATTTTTCAAATGATAAAGACCCCCAAATTATTTCACTATTTATCACTTATAAGCAGAAAACACTGATTTTGTTAATTTTACCATGATAGCACAATGCTGATTTAAAATTTTTGATGCTGATACTAATATAAGGATGTTTGGTATCACCACTTTTAGAACTAATATCCAAATTCAGTAGCATAACAGGATATAGTCAACACTCATAAATCAATAGCGCTCTTACACACCAATAACAAACTCACCAAGAGGAAAGTAAGGGAAACAATATGTTTCACACTAGCACCAAGAAAAATGAAATACTTAGGAATTAACCTAACCAAGGAAGTGAAAAACTTCAACAATGAAAACTATAAAACTCTGAAAAAGAAAGTTGAAGAGGATAATGTAAAATGGAAAGATAGCCCTGGTCCTGGATAGGCAGAACCAATATAGTCAAAATGGCCATACTTCCAAAATTGTTATATAGATTTAATCCAATCTCAATCAAAATACCAAGAACATTCTTTATAGAAATGGAGAAAGCAATCCTAAAATTCACATGGAACCAAAAGAGACCTAGATTTGGAAAAGCAATTCTGGGCAACAGGACAAGGCAGGGAGCATCACAATCGTGGACTTTAAGTTACACAACAAAGCTATAGTGATTTTTTTAAAAGCATGATATTGGCAACAAACAAACAAAACACAGACTTGTGGATCAATGGGAAAAAATAAGAGAGGCAGAAATGACTCCAGACATACTCAGCTATGTTATCTTTGGAATGGGGCCAAATCCCTTTGCTGAAAGACAGCCTCTTCAACAACTGGTGCTAGGAAAACTGACCATCTACATGTCAAATGTTAAACCCAGAAACACTTTGCTTCGTGAAGAGAGCCCCAGAGTACCATGTTCCAGAATGACAGTGGTCTAGGGAATTTGTTCCTTGGGATTTAGTTCATAGTGCTCAGTAATCCAGGTGCTTGAGCCACGAGAGACAGAAGGAAGCCAGGCTATTTTTTCAGATGGCAGCAGACTTTGGTAACATCTACGTGGTGTTGGTTTTAGGTGCAAGCAGAATGCAAGAGTTGTGGGGACAAAAAGACTTCCACTCAGATTTCAGAAGAAGTCCTGGGAGGCCAGGCAGTATGCTCCTGAGAGGGCAGTATGTGAAGTTGTGAGTGTGAAGCTGAAGATGCAGTGGAGACCCCAGAATGTTAGAGAAGCCAGGAACATGGGTTGTCTGAGGAAACTTTCAAGGCATGAGCAAAGCCAGCTGAAAAGAGAAGCCATGACAGGTACAACCACTAGCAGTGACATAGAGGCAGAGTTATCTAAGCCCTTTGAAGTTCACATCTTGCTGGATGGCCCCAGATGATGGACATGGCACTTTGGGAATTAATGTTTGCCCTGCTGGATTTTGGACTTGCTTTGGTTCCACTCTTTTCTATCCCCTTATTTATACCTTTTGGAATGGAAATGTTTATCTTCTGTCATTGTATGTTGGAAATGTTTAACTTTCATTTACACAGGGGCTCGCAGCTAAGAGTTTGCCTTAAATCTCAGAGGAAACTTTGGACATGGTTTTTTGAGCAATAGTAAAACTGTTAGGATTTTGCTAACTCTTAGAGATGGACTAAATGCCTTTGCATAAAGGCATGAACATGAGTATTTTGGGGGCCAGAGATGGAATGTTATGGCATGTATCTAGATGTCCCCCTAAAGTCTCAGGCATTCCAGTGGGGGCTTTTTACAGGTGGCTGGATCTAGGGTGTGTAATACTGGGATTAAGGGTGTGAGATAACTAAATGGGTTTGGCACAGTTCTGGATGTGGAAGCACCACCCTGGGTGTGGGCAGCACCAACCAGTAGACATATAACCTGGGTAGGATAAAAGGGAAAGGAAGGCTTGTTGCTGCTACTGCTGCTGATTCCTGCCTGTCCTGCCATGGACTGTTTCTGTCCTCCACCATGCCTCTGCCATCCCCCCTTGTCATGCTGCCCTGCCATGGAACCAGCTGACTATGAACCAAAACCTCTACAAACTGTGAGACAAAATTAACCTTTCCTCCTTCAACTTGTGGGTGTTGGGTATTTTGTCTCAGCAACTCAGAAAGTAACTAAGATAGTATAGTATTTGTCTTTCTGTTTCTGGGTTATTACACTTAACATAATCATCCACAGGTCCATCCATGTTTTCATAATGTTAGAATTTCAGTTCTTTTTTTATGTTCCAACAATATTCCATTGTGTATATGTAAAGCATATTCTTTATCTACTCAACAGTCAATAGACACTTAGCTTGTTTCTATTTTGTGGCTATTGGTGAGTAGTCCTACAATGAACAGGGGAGTGCAGATGTCTCTTTGATATACTACTTCATTTCCTTTGGCTATCTCACCCAGAGGTGAGGATGCTTAATCACATGATAGGTCTATTTTTAATTTTTCGTACTGCCACACTGTTTTACATAATGCCTGTACTAGTGTGCCTTTCCATCAACAGTTTTCAAGTGATCTCATTTTATAACATCCTTGGCAGGACTTTCTGTGTTGAGCCTTTTTGACAGTAGCCATTCTTACTGGAGTGAGTTGATATTTCATCAAGGTTTTGATTTGGATTTCCCTCATGATTAGCAATGTTCAGTAATGTTTCATATATCTGATGGCCATGGGTATAGATAAATATGTTCCTTTCAACTTAGTAAATCTTATTTAATTCAAAGGTAATTTGGCAACAGCAAAGATGGAAATCAAACTAAGATGTCTCTGGGTCTAAAGATTTTATAGTTATTTTTACTGTACCTTTGTGACTTTGAGAATGACACATATTTTTGAGCTTTAACTGTCTTATCTATAAAATAGGACTCATAATACGGTCTTGATAGAACTGTTGTAAAACCAAATGAGCTAATGTCCTCAAAAGCTCTATGCAAAGTACAGATGACCAGATAAATATAAGCTATTTATATATGTATAAAGCTTTTGCAGGAGGACAATATTGCAATTCCTTCATTTTTCTAAGCTTTCTAGTGGTGTTGAAGTAAATGACAATTGGAGAGTTACCAAGTCAACTGTACTTTCCATCATGGGCTTCTTTTTAAGAATTTGGTAATAACAGTTTGATGCACAGACCTATATTTTCCCTTGAAGAGGTTCAGCTTTGTAAATATGGATAGTTTTAAAGATAATGGCCATGTATAGAATAGGATAGGAGCATTTGTAACACTCTTTTGTGGTACAGGGATGGAACCTATGTCTTCATATATGCGAAACAAGATTTCCACCACTGAGCTACACCCTCAGTCCCATGATAAGACTCCTTATCATGAAGATTGAAGTTACTTGAAATAGTTCTGTCAAGCCAAGCAGCTTATTTCATTGAGTCTTCCCTAATACCCAGCATTATCTAACCTCTGTTAGACTTTCTTGGTCCTAGGCTCTCTTGTCTACAATGTGGGCATCCCACTGTATGACACAATGATATGTGTATAGAGTTAAGTTAGGATTAATGCTCATATCTCTTCATATCCCTGGATCATATTCTCTTCACTTTTTGAGGTACAGAGTTGGGGATAAAGTAGGCTAAATAATTGCTTCATTTTCCTATGCCATAAGATCATGTCACTATCCTACTCAAAACCCTTTAAAGGGGCTGGGAATTTAGCTCAGTGATTCTGCCATCTGCCTCGAAAGCACAAGGACCCGAGTTCAATCCATGGTACCAAAAAAAAAAAAAAAGACCCTCTAAAGGATTCCCAGTGCACTTCAAAAAAGGAAAAAAAGAAAATTTCTCATCATAGTGTTCACATCCCCACATGGTTTGGCCCATACTTCTTTTTCCCTCTTATTATAGACCACCCTGCCTCTCACTATACTACCAGTTGCACAAACCTTCCTTCCTTGAACACACCTAGTTCATTCTCATCTTGGGATTCTGCACTAGCTAGGTTACTAGCTGTAACCTTCCCCTGAAAATATCTCCTTAAGAAGGCCTTCTACTGCTTCCCAACTTGAAATAGCTTCCAAGTCACTATCATATCACCCTAATTTAATTTTTGCCATATCTACAGATCTGGATTATATTTATCTATGTTGTATCCCATTTTCGTTTCACTAATTAAAAGGTAACATTCATAAAGGCAAAAAATTTTCTCTATTTTGTCATATCTGTGGTGCCTATGAAAATGTTTTCCACTTTGTTGGTGTTCAATACGTATCACTGAATGAATGAATACAAAATGTAAGTGCACAGAAACTCTGCTTCCAATTTCTATAGCACAAGCTACTGCCTACAATCAATACTATGCCCAGTTCAGGGACCAACAGGAAACCTGAAGCAGAAACATTTAAGCAACTCTAGCCTCGTTCATTTTTCTATCTTGCTGGTTGTTTCGTTCTGACCTTTATCTTTAATTGGGATTCTAGACACCTTCTAGTTCCCTATCCCTCAATCCTTCAACCCTCCTTTGCATAGTATTCTCAGTAGCACAGACCTCTGTCTTTGAGACAGAGGCCACACTTGATCCTTTTCTTCCCCATTCCCAAGACTTGATATCTGACTCTAGAACTCCACATTATTGCGTCTTCCTTTAGTTGACAGATTGTTATAATGCCAAACAGTCCTCCTGGACCTCTGTATTACACATCTCCCTTTGTGTTATGCATTGTCTCATGAAACCCTTCTCTGACCTTGATCCTGCTAGGCTGACTTCATGCTAGAATAATAACTACTGTTGTATATTCTCTGGATGTCTGTTTTACCTGCTGAACCAGATGAGACACAGCTGAGCCTGACTATCCTAATATTGGCCTTTCTCAGTTGTGTGATTGGTTCTAAGTTGTGAAAAAATACGTATAATGATTTGAGCGACTTACCTTGGAGAGTTCCTGTCCAGGACCACACTGTTGACAAGTGACACAGCGTCCCCATTGGTCCCAGTACTCATTTTCTTGGCAATCCATGATAAGAAAACTGTGGGTACAGAATATAAGAACTAAGGAGCTAATAGAAAAGTACTGCAAGATAATTAATGACTTCCATGACATTAATTTCTAGGTCCACTTAATCTAATCTCTGGCTCTTAATGAGAGGAGCTGAGAAAGCCAAACCAAAATATCTAATTCTTATATAACCTTAACCACATGCCACAAACTCTTCTAAATGCTTTACATTTAATAACTCATTCAATTATCAAAATATATATATATCTGGGATCATTATTAGCTCCATTCTGCAGATAGGGAAACTGAGGCACAGGGACAAAGTACTTGCTTATATGGTCATAGTTAGTGGTTTTATCAAAAGCTGAATTAGTAAAGAGATAATAGGAGAAATAACTGGCTTCTGTACATATATACAAAAAACCACAATCCTTGTGTAACCAGCTCTTAAAGGTTTAGTAAGCACTTCCTTATCTATATTATTTGATGTGCACAATAGCCCCATGACTTAAAGAGCATAGGTATTATTATCTTTATTTTATGGATGAAAAAGCTGAAACATTGTTCTTCTTTGCTAACAGTGTATTCCGTACTTCTGAGGGCCATTTCCTGCCATTGCTTTTGTCCTAGGCAGAATGGGATGGGAGGATGATACAGTATGTAGAAATAACCTGGGGCACTAAGGTGTTGAGAAGGGAAAACATAACTCAGATAATAGTTTCTGACAGACAGATGGCATAAGGCATGCAATGGACAGAGTTTTGGATATATGGACTTTAATCCTTGCTGCAGAGTTTTCTCAGAACTAAGAGGTTTTCTAAGACATGACACCTTCAGTGCTAAAACTGGGAGAGTTTCACCATAGCTGGCTCTTTCTGGGAGAATGTTTAAAAGTCAGATTCATTTTTAAGTTCAACAAAGTGAGTCTTATACACCTTTGATACAAATACACAATATAAAGCATAAAAAAACGAACACACACAAATACTGTAAATAATGCTTTTGGACATCCTAAGCTCTGATTGAGCACTGTACTACTGCACACTATCACACTGTACAGTAAGCACACAGCAGCACAGCTGTGACCGTGTCTGCCAGATGTGTGAGCTACTTCCATGATTTGTTCTCATCTACAAATGTTTGTAATGTGAGGTCAGTTAGTATCTGTTAAAGTTTGCAACTCAAATGTTTGTAAGCTGGGGACTTAGCTGTATATATAGGGTAGCCTTCTACAAAGAAGAATTTAATGGAGGTGGCTCAAGTAATTGATAAATGGTCCCAGTCCTTATAAAAGAGTAAGGTGTGGTGAGATTTTTTGCTTGCTCCTATCATGGTGAATTTCATGTGGTTTCTCAAAGTCCCTAAAACCCTGGGTGTATGTAGCTCAATGGGAAAACATGTACACAGCATGCACAAGGCCTTAGGTTCCATTTCTAGAACCACAAAAACAAAAGCCCTAAATGTGTACTTCCAATCCAGAAGAAAGAATGTATATGTATTCCCTGAGAGGCCACCACAGAAGTCCCCAATAGAGATAAGATATCCTAGCTGATATTCCTGTTTTCTCGCTATTAAGTAGGCTCCACTTTCTCATTTCTTCATTCTAAAGAAAGTGGTCTACGAAATCCATATTGAGCCGGGTGTTATGGCACAATCCTAGTACTCTGGGAGGCTAAGGCAAGAGGACTGCAAGTTCAAGTCCGGCCTGGGTGATTTAGTGATTTAGCGAGACTCTGCCACAAAATAAAGAAAAAATAATAAAAGGCCTGGAGATATAGCTCAGTGTGAAGGTTCTGGATTAAACCCCTAGTATGTGAAAGAAGAAAGAAAGAAAGAAAGAAAGAAAGAAAGAAAGAAAGAAAGAAAGAAAGAAAGAAAGAAAAGAAAAGAAAAGAAAAGAAAAGAGAGAAATCCATTTTTGTAGAAGATAAATATATCCTCCACTCTGTTGTTTTGATTATTGGCTCAAGGAATCAGCCTATGTAGGCCTCCTCTCTTCTTCTTGCTGTCCACCATTCTCACTGAGCACAAAAACGATCAGTGGTCTCATAGTACTCATGACAAGGGAATTCTCCACCCTGAGAACAAAGCCAGCCTCCCCATAACTTTTTCTTGTCTAGCAAAACAGAAAACATTGGCAGGAGCCAAAGAACAGAACTCCTTTTGAAATAAGCTCTTGACTCAGGCCATCTGAAATTTTCATGGCAGCTGGTGGTGACCTTTAAGTGTCTGTGGCAAGCTATTTGGTTTGGTTTCCAGAGCTCCAGCCACTTAGTAAACATCATATGACAAGGACACATCCCTCTAACTCCATTTTTTAGATTTCTGTCTAGGTGAAATAGGCTTATTGCCAAATCCTCATATCAGGACCTAGAGAACGAAAAGAGGATTTCTTTTTCCCTCTGTTTTTGTCAAATTGTTTATCCAAAGCATATAAATTAAAGTAACTTTCATTAGAAGGTTAACAAATTGCTTTTATTAAAGAGAACAAAATCACACTGACTCTGGACTACTCCAAAGAAGTCAGTACATAAGGACAAAATTGTTTAATGAGAGTTTAATCCATAAACAATATGTGACATTGTATCAAGTTTTTCCTTGTGGGCAGCAGTGCAACTACCTTTTTATTTTAAGAGAAAGTAAGAAACAATAAATAGGTTTTGAGAAAATCAGCTGCTCTCATGAACTGCAGATAGATACTCCTCTAAAGTGTCACAGAGAAGTTGACTGAATCCTCCAAACTGCTCGCTGAGTCAGCAACACAGACAGAACTATAAAATTCCCTAGAATAGAGCCCACTGCATGCCCAGTGCCTAGCTTTGTACCTGGCAAAGAGTGGGCACCACAACCTCGGTTGCTGTTTGTTAGCTTGTCAACATGTTTTGCTTTCTGGACTATGGTTATGTGTCTAGCCACCTACATTATATCTTTCTCAAGAAATGACTTCCAAACAGTAAGTAATAACCTCACATGAGGAAAAAGCAAATGTCTTAGGGATATGGAGACCTGAGTATGAATCCCAGCTCTACAATTCACTAGTTGTATGTCCTTAAAAATGGTTTCATCTTTCACAGCATCTGCAAAAATGTAGATTTTATTGCCTACTTTGCCTAGCAATTTAGAGAATTGAATGTAACAATACATGTTAAAGACCTAATATAGGGCTCAGTGCATCTGAGATGCGTGGGAATTAGTGAATTCTCTTCCCTCTCCTCCCTCCCCTTTGGAAGGGTGGGGATTTTACTGAGGAGTGCATACTTGTCATTCTTAAGATTTGTGAGGAGGAAAAAGGAAAGGCATCTAAGCTTCTTCATTGACCCACTGTAGCTACAACATGAAAGTCATGCCTAAAACATGGATGTCACCACAGCACATTCCTCCTCACTAACTGCTGCCACCAGCAACCTGAAGCTTAAGAACATGATTCCTCTCAGTATCCTGAATACCTAAGTCACTTTGCCTAAAAGGGACATTGTTCTCACTGTTTGCTGGCCATTTTTCATCAAGATATCCTGAATATGGTAAACTCACCTGACAAAAGTTTGGAAACCTCAGACAATTGCCTTTGAAATGGAAATTCAAAAGAAATTAGTGGGGATGAAACAGAGGGGAAGTGTTAAGTGCCCTTTTGTCTCCTCCCCTGGAGTATGACACATTCTAGGGTTCTGCTTCTGCCCAAACTGTATCCACTCAGCTGTACTGTTTGCAGGCTATGCCTTGAAATACTGTCTCCAACTTACTCAACACAGAAAGAAAAGCACAAAGAAAATGGATGGACAAAGAACAAAGCAGCCTACATAGCTGCAGTGGAAAAAAGTCTGTGGAATTCCTGATAGGAATTCCACTTCTATCCTCAACTCAAACTTCTCACTGGAGTTTAGGCAGCTCATTCAGTTTCTCCATTCATAAAATGGGGATACCTCTACCTGCATTGTGTAACCCTTAAGAGTAGTTTAGACATCAAATGAAATAATGTAGCAGTGGTCTAGAAAACTCATGTGCATCATATTCTGGGACTATTTGCTTGTTTTTTTATTGCAGTACAAAACATACATAGTAAAGAGCACAGCTATTAAGTGAACTAATGAATCTTTACCTATGTATACACTCATGTAACCATTGCCCAGATAAAGATACAGAAGATTTCCATTACCTCAGCAGGCTCCCTCTGAACAGGGAAATGATTTCTTACCAGAAGAAGCCTGTGCTGTAGCTAACCCAGTAGCAAACAAAAGGCTCTTCCAAGCTCTAACCCCTCCTGCACCTAAAACATGTCCAGGTCTCACTCAGACTTACCAGGACATGTTTTCCTTCATTATCCTTTGTTCTCAGTAGAGTTTCTGTGACCCCTGCTTCCTGCCATATATAAATAAGGTGAATCCTAGTGTACCTTTCTATCCAATTGTATAAGCTGAATGTATCTTCCTCAACCAATGAACTAATGTTAAGTGTATTGCCACTGTATTTTCACCCCTCTTTTCCCAAATCTATATAAACCCTGTCCACCGCCCAGACAGGACTGATCGCTTTGTGGAGAAGTTCTGATCAGTCGACTAGCAAAATAAACCTGCCTCCAACTTCCAGGGTGTGTGCTCAATTCTTCTCAGCTTAACTCTGTTATACCACTTACAGCTACAACACTGTGTGTTACATTTGCTACAATACCTCATGGCCTTTCCCCAGGCAATACCAACTCTGTTCCCAGGTAATTGCTACTCTGGTTTCTGTCACTATGATTACTTTTACTAATCCTTGAACTTAATATAGACTGAAATCATACAAGAGTTCTGGCTTACAAAAGTTTTTTCTTAATAAGAAACAAAAAATTCCATACTTTAAAATTTTTTTTCTTACAAGAAAATATAGGTGTATAAATTTGTGACCTTGGATTAGGCAATAGTTTCTTAGGCAAAACACCAAATGCATAAGCAACAAAAGAAAAAATAGATAAATTTACACTTAATTTTATAACTTAAAAATTTGAAACTCCTATGCTTTAAAGGACATTATAACAATATTAGGAAGGATGGA